TCCTGTCAGTCTGGCCGGTTACAGGAAACAGAAACTCCGCTCGGAACAGGAATTTCTGTTTCCTGTAACTGGCCGGACTAACAGGAAGTGCACACTCAATGTGCACCTCTTCCTATCAGTCCAGCCGGGCACCGCGGACAGCAGAGCAGCTCGGCCACGCTACAGGGGAGGGCAAGGAAGGAGAGGAGCAGCTGCAGCCGCCTGAGGCTCTTCACAGAGTGCTCAGGCGGCTGCAGCATTTAAAGGGCCAGCCCTGCAGCGGCCGGTCCTAACAGAATTTAGGGCGGCCTGGGGGGCAATTGCCTCCCTGCCCCCCGGCCCAGCCCGACCCTGGGCCTAGGGATTAAACCTAATGGTCAGCTGGGAATAAATAATCTTAATATGCAAAGAATAATCCATTTTTGATGTTGTAGATATCCATATAGGATGCACTATAGTCATAATTTAGTTTGCAAATCCAGAATGGGGACTCCGTGTGAAGTTGGATAAAAGGGGTTAATAGAAATCTTAAAATATTCCAGGTATCTCCAAAGAGAAAAATATATAGTAATTAAAGTAAAAATATAAAAAAACACGTATAAAGTGAAAATACTATTTCCAAAATCACAGTATATAGTGAAAGTCCCTATGACCTTGTGGGTAGTGTTATACTCTAATTTTAGAGATAACTAATGAAGGGAGAATAGGTGAAGCCTTCATTCAACCCTATCGGTGACAGTGTATTGAGGTGGTATATCCAAAAACACTCTCTTCTCCTCAGGAGTTTATCCAGATTCCCTTTCCTTTGATCAGGTTTGACCTGTTCAATACCCAAAAATTTGAGTACCGAGTGGTCATTTTGATGAAAATTTTTTACGTGTCTGGATGCTGAAGTTTCAATGTGTCTATTGGATTTAATGGAATAAATGTGTTCTAAAATCAGTCTTTTAAACAGCCTGAATGTCTTGCCTACATACAACTTGTTGCATTGGAATATTATCAAGTAGACCAAGCCCTTTGTGTTGCAATTGAAAAACGAGTTTGGGTGAAAGACATCAGGCTGTGAGCTTTTTGAGTCTTTGCAAATACAGTTACACGCTTTACAGCAACCACATTTGTAAGTCCCCAAGAGTTTATTAGATAGCCAGTGTCTTGAGATTGTTGGCGATTGTTTGAAGTGGCTATGTACTAAAACATCTTTGATGTTTTTGCCCCTTCATGCCACTAAAGCTGCATTTGGGGAAATTACCTCTTTAAGGTGTTCATCCTGTCTGAGCAGAGGCCAATATCTATTCAGAGGCCAATATCTATTAACGTGTTCCCACCTTGCATCATAAGTAGCGATACATCTCAGTTGCTTAGAGTCAAAGTTGGTATGATTTTTAGGAGGCAAGTCTTCCTTGATGAGATCTTCTCAGTCAGTTAATAGAGCTCTATGATATGCCCTTTTTAGACATTTATGGGGGTATCCTTTTGCTCTGAACATCGCACGTAGCTCCTTGGCTCTTATCTTAAAATCCTCCATGTCGGAGCAATTTCGCCTGAAGCGCAAATATTGCCCAGTCGGTATGCCTCTTTTTAAAGGGGTCGGATGATAAATCCCCAAATTCAGTAGGCTATTGGTAGCCGTGTTTTAGGAACTGTAGGGTCTTATTAGCTCAGCATCTCTCTTTTGCTAATTGATCTTAAAGCTACCTGCTATATTTAACATTATTTGCTAATAGCTGGGATTTTTGAGCAATTGTAATTAGAGACTTCTCATTTGTTACTATTCACTATCTCTGTGCAACACTAGCCAGTGTAAGGTAAAAGATCCAGACCCTGGGTATATACTGATTGCTGCCCCTGTCTTTTGCTGGATATTTTCTGAGTGTGGGTCTCAGACCTTCTAGTCGGACTGCTGACTAGTAGATTCGGATATGATCCCAGGAAGACTTACCTACTTATTTATTTATTTACTTATTATTTATTGGTTTATTCTTACCCTTTTTTTCATAAGGGATTTTTCTTCCTACCAGTAGGGGCTCATAGAATAGTTATAAGGTTTGTGCCGTATTACAGAGACACAGAGGACCTCCTGATGATTGATATACCCCTTGCCACTTAGCAATTATCCCATATATATATAGTGCTTTTTATTTATATGTACTAATAAAGTATTCATTATTATTATATAATTTTCTTTTATGGAACATCTTGGGACTACATATAATTGATGTTTGTAGCAAATTCCACTATTTAAACTCTGTGCTTATTTCCGGATTGGTCATAATTTATACCTTTATAATGTTTCTTACTTTCCCTGACTTTGTATAAAACCAGGTTTGGAGTTCCATTTATTTTGATACTCTATCATTTACTTATTATTTTTTTTTCAAAAAAATATTGGGTTTAAGCCCTATGGTGGAGCTGGTACCACGAATTCTGACCTCTGTGTGTCTTTTTCCACATCTAGTGAAAATTGTTTACACACAGTTTTTTTGTCCTCGCTGTCCTTGCCCGGGCAGATCCCCTCATATGAAAAGATAAAACCATATAAAATGGTACTCACAAGAGAGGAGCAGACCAACTGCTCCATGATTATGGGGTTAGTGGTATGATCCCCACCTAGGATTACTTGTGCCATTACTTGTGCCAGTCATCTTTTTATACAATTTATACTGTTTTTACTTTTTACCTGGCATTTTATCATTCTGGACTCCAAGTAATCCTAGGTGGGGATCATATAACTAACGCTATAATCAAGGAGCAGTTGGTCTGCTCCTCTCTTGTGAGTACCATTTTATATATATTTTATATACCTTTGTTTTATCCTGTGAATACTATTGGTTGTCTACTTTCACTCTTCTCTTTTGAGTGTTGAACATACCCCTGAGGGAGGAAGTCCCACAAGCGGGAATTGTACGCTCTTCATAATAGAGCTAGCTATAGCTCTAGTATATGTGAGTTTATTACCATCTTTTTATTATCTGCTATATTAGACTGGACATATTACACTATTTGGTTCTATATTTGTTTTATCGTTTCATTTGAGTGGATCTGCCCGGGCAAGGACAGCGAGGACATTGTTCCTGACCAAGCACCTTATAGACTATCTGATCTTAATAAGATCATTCCAGTTAAGACCTTTTTTCTGATTACTGTATGTTATAAGGTCTCTCTGGCGCAGGCCTTATCTCCCTTTTTTTTAATTTCTCTGATGGGCTGGAGAAGGCAAGACACTTCAGCCTGCAGCTCTGCACCTGGTGGAGTTGCAGAGTGGAGGCACTGGGCTCACTGTCAGGTAGATTGAGCAGAAGGGCCCCATTTGGCGACATACAGGACAAGCAGCCAGGCCCCCTCATGGTGTCGGACCCTTGGTCATAGACCGAGAACCCAACAGGTTAACGTGCCCTATGGTGATTTAGGTGGCCGCAAGTCTCACTAAGCGCTAGGCAATTAGATAGCAACCTCGTCTGACGTTGTAAAGGTTAGTTTTGAATGTTGTGGGCAGTCTCTCCAAGATCCTACAATTACAGCACTAACAGCTCTCTACCATCCCTCTAACTACTAACCAAGAAAAAAAAAATCAACTAAAGGGGAAAGTGAAACATAACCACCATGAAAACCCAAAATAACAAAAAACACACAAATGCCCAATGTGTGTTTCGGTGCAATCACTACATCTTTAACCAGGGCTTCTCAATTTCTATCTCGAGTGGACCCATTGTTTATGTAATCTTGATATATCCTGAAAGCCGTTTTCATTAATTCTTTCTATCCACAGGGCCTCTTTTATGATACCTCATCTCATAAAAGCTTCCCATTCTCCCCCTGTCAGTTTACATATTTTATCTTTGGCTAGCATAGAGAGACTCCATCTTGTTCTCTAATGCTGAATGTAGGTCATTTCCTCCTGGTATGTATTGTGGTCACTCAAACATTTTGGACAGGAGGTCTGAGCTTTAAGGCAATAAGGGGGGAAGTTGATTTTGGGTTGAAAGGCAGACAGACAATAGATATTAGACACGTCTATCAAACAGATATTACAAACATAATTTTTTTAATACAACACACCTTCCTTGTTTTAAATAACATCTTATTTTATATGTAACCTCCAGTAATCAAGCTTATAAAAGATGTTCCTTAGCCATTACAGTGTCAAACTCTTCACACTAACACTTGTTAAAGGGATACTACTAGCACTATAGTCATTTTAGCTCATTGATATGGTTATAATGCCTGGACTACCTGGAGTCCCCTAGTGCTGTCCCTCCACTCAGTACTGCCTGTAACATCTCACCACAAAAACAGTGCTGTAAAAGGTTTCCTGATTCCATACGGTCTCCCCCAAATCATCTAACATTTCTATATAATTGATAGAGGGTTAGCACCCTCCATATTTACCAACCTATTGACCTATCAACCTTAATTAAATCACCCACAGAAATGTAATTTAATTCCCATTTCCTATCTGAAATATCTGTTTGTGTTTCATCGTCACAGACAAATACTTTGTTATGTATGGATGTTGTCGTCGTTTAGAAAGTTTGGGTGACAAAACATATTGCTGTCATAGAAGTAGCGAATTCATTTAAACAATTCACATAATGAGCAATTACTTTCTCCACCCATAATGTTTCATCAGCAGATTTAACAAGTCATGTTCGCCCAGTGGGATTAGGTTAATTAGGATAAATTTCCTATAAAATCCTACAGCGGTGGAAGAGTACTGAAAACAGCAA